CATGGAACTGATACGACACCGTGTCTGTTATATTAACTCTTGAAGTAGCCAACCAATGCATTTACCATTCTATCCTAACCAAAAAAACATTTGTTATTAACTTTTGAAGAAACCAACCAATGCATTTACCCTTCTATCCCAACCAAAAAATTAAGCGACTTGATGAAAAAATATGAACGACTCGCTCATGCAATTTGCTGCAAAACCACCACTAAGGAATGCAATTTGCCACATTTTCTAAGTAGGGAAATTATCTTGCTCAGATAGTCGTAACTGAACAAACCAACCCCAACACTCATCCCGCTCACTCTCAACCCTCACTCTTATCATAAAATTCACTAACTCGTGTTCTAAGTGAGCCAGTGATCGACGCCATCGTGGCAGGCCAGCGGCAAGGGACAAGGGTGGCAACCGCCTTCCCATCTGAGTGTTGTGGACCCCCTCTATTTACAACAAATATCATCAAATATGTATGCCATTGCCATGGTATGATAGTTCTTCAACTTATTCACACTAATTTTATTAATCCACTCTCGTGCATGTGAAAGATGTGTGTCCTCCCATATTTCACTAAGTGATGCAAGGGTAGTTACATAGTAATACTAATTTATCCCTCAATACTCAAATTCCATCAACATGCACTTTCACCAATCTTCTCACATGAAACATATTATATTACTACAAATTCTTATACACCATGAGGTGATGGCTGGTCTATACTTTTTTTAATACGTTTTATAACACAAAACAAAGAATAAAAAAGTAATACAAATTTAATAGCATGCTTCATGAAGCAAATGCTATTAGTGCATACACATCGATCTGTTCTCTCCAGCAAAAATCTATCGTATATTTACCTCCACATATCGACTCTATTTTTTTCAAATTCATCTCGGCTAATATTACAACCACTACTGTGGTGTCTGGTCCTTCTTGAATCCTTGTCGATAGCTACCATCTTGTCCTCCTCGAATCCATGTCCCTAGTGATCGTGGCATTGTACCATCATAACGGTTGTTGCTGGGAATTGTGACATACACAATAGGGTTTGCAGTGGTGTGTCCGACACAACTGCAGATTCTCCATTTGAGTCTGAAGTGGTTCTGTTAGGAAAGTTTGCTCAGTATGCATGTAAGTTGTAATCAATTTCATAGTTGAACTGTCATGTATAGCGAAGAACAGTGTAATAATAGAAATAAGAGGGTTGTAAATATATAGGTATGGCCAAAAAATATGACAGCAATAGTTGAACTTTATTTTCATGCAATTATATTTCTATAATATTCTTCATATAATACTATTTTCATTACCAAACGTCAATAATTTCTCACCGTCCAAGAGTGTCACCCCCTTACCGTTACATGATTTAAAAGGGATAGGGGTTTCTTTCCTTCATGTCAGGCTCTCTTGAAATGTCATGACTAAAACTACTAATAAATCTAATGGTTCCAATAAACAGATATTCGAGGATTGACTTCATCTATAAGAAAGTTAACTACAAAGGTGAACGGAAGGGGTGTTTCTGACAGAGGTAGTGCGGCATGGCCATGGCCGAGGAGGGGTGGACAGAAGGATCGCCCTAGCTGGCCCGCGTCTCCGGAGGGTGGGGGGTTCAGGGCACCGAGGAGGTGGAGGAGGACGTGGCGACTACCATGGAGGGGTGGAGCAGCACCACATCTACAATGTGCGTGGCCATTACCGAGTAATGGGTGGGCGGACGGAGAGCCCTCGCAGAGCTCCTCGCTGCCCACACCGCGGTCACAGACACACCCTACACCGGGGTGAGGTGATGGCGCTAGCTTCGTCGTCCCGCGAGTCGGGGCCTCGACTAGGCCACACTCGATGAGCTTGATCTCGGCCACCAGCTGGCGGTAGCAGGTGTGGCAAAGGGGTGACGGTGTTGAGGAACCCTAGAAAAAAGATAGTCGAGCAACGGGAGAATTTGAGAGACCGATAGAGTGATGATTTTTTTTGAGAGAGAAAGAGATGAGTTGGGTCGACAGAGGAAGGGGAATTACGTGTGAGGGAGAAAAAACTAGTGTGAAAGGGTGATGTGAATTAAACGGATGAGGCAAAATTTAACCAGCTGGTTGGCCACTTTGTTGTGGGTAATTAACCGGAGTGCAGGGATTCAAACCAATACTGAAAACGGGTTGGGTTGTGTAATCAAACGTTGATTCATTTCCATAAATATTGCCCTGTGTTATCCAATATTGATTCCTTTCCATAGATTTGGTGTTTAAAGGTTTGTTAGAGATCATCGTGATTGATTACTTTCCATAACGACATTACTAATTTGGCAGAAAAAACCCGGATTAAATAGATCGGTGGGTTAAAAGTCAGTTAAAATAAATTGGTGGGATAGAAAAAGTTCGATGGGGGAGATTTAACAGAAATGAAGGCAACGCTACCAACTAGCCATGACGTACAGGTCGATTCCGATAGTGCCGAGCACAAATTATTAGTCTGGTCATAGAAAAATAAAACAGAAAAGAATAAACCAAAAAAATGAAACATATAAAAAATGAAAAAGAAAAACACATGCACATGTCAAATGGGTCAGGCAATTTTGATTATAGTTGATGTTTTGGTAAGATTTGATTTGATTTGGGTATTTGTAGTGGAAGGAAAGGAAATTTTAGATTTAGATTTAGTTGAGATTTTATTTGAATGAATTAATGCATGACGTTGTTTTGAAAAAATATTGATTTAGTTGAGTTAATGCACACGCCAAATGGGCCGCTCGCGGCGTAATATACTGTTGGTGGTAGTGAGGCGGGACTACCAACTACCCCTTTAGGAGTAGATATGACGACATTATTAGATTGGCAGAAAAGCCGGATTAAAGAGGTCAGTGGGCTAGAAATCGGTTAAAATAAATTGGTGCGATAGAAAAAAAAATCGATGGGGAAGGTATATCCAGAATGAAAGCGATGCTACCAACTAAGCATGACATACATGTCTGTGCCAATTCTGATAATGCCGAGCACAAAATATTAGGTTGGCCATATAAAAAATAAAACAGAAAAAAGGAAACCAAAAACGAAACATAGAAGAAAAAAAACGTGTGCACACGTCAAATGGGCCAGTCAACTTTGATTAGTTGATGTTCTGGTAAGATTTGATTTGGTTTGGGTATGAGTAGTGGAAGGAAATGAAAGTTTGGATTCAGTTGAGATTTCTTTTTAAAAGATTTGATTTGAATGAATTAGTGCATGATGTTGTTTTGAGGAAATGCTGATTTAATTGAGTTAATTCACGCTTCAAATAAGTCGGCTGTAAGACGCTCGCGGGTGTAATATAGTGTTGGTGGTAGTGAAGCGTGATTACCAACTCCCTCTTTTGGAGTAGAGATACACGGAGTATCGTATAACTGTGTTGCTTAAATAGCCTAATACCATGATATGCAACCCTTGATACTCCAGTAAGAAATTCTGCCCTGTAACGTGAAGTTCTTAACCAGGCAGGACACAATAGCACGACACATGAAAATAACCCTCCGAGTCCGACCCATGTTTTCCTTGCTTCCTCCAAAAGAATTGGACAACTGACATTGGAGAGCCAGTTGGTTGGTTCGATATCATGTATCACAAGATTCCTAATGGGTGAACTTCAGTGTCGAAGACCCACTCATCGCAGTATAAAGTTGATGGATGGGAGAATGTATGTGCTTCCAATTCCTTATGATACTGGACGTGTCAATGGCCTCTAACTCTCACTGAAATTTCCAATACATCCCATTTCTAAAAAAAATTGTCCGCACCAAGTATCGGTGTTGCACTCATTGTGCTGGACATTTTTGCTCTCCTATTAGACTTCCTCATATTGACATTATGTGTGATTGCCTCACACTGCCACACGCCTGTAAAAAGAGAAGTGCCTCTACCATAGTTTCAAGCATTGCTTCTACTATAGGAGGAAGGTAGTTATTTATAGATTGGGTGTGAGTGCAGACTTCATTGCTTCATCAAACTCCACATGCCAGCTGCTGCCTCTTATTTTCCTTATTACCAGTGTGGCTATTGTTTTTGTTTGTTTGCAGAGAAGGTGTAGTTATTGCCGAGGAATTAACATCTATAAGGTGCATTAGGGCATCTCCAATGTATGCAGCATCAAACCATCCCAAACCTGGTCACCACCTTGACCATGGTATGAAAATATGGCCACGTTTTTCCTTTCAAAATATTCCAATGCACTATGGTTTATGGTTATGGACGCCCTTACAAATTTACATGTTAACAGCCCTGGGCCAAATGGCGTTAAAAATGAAATACAATACACAGATAGCCTTTGCAAATCGAGATTAATTTCCATCTTGGGATGCCCAAGCAGAAAAATAGACGCGCCACCAAACATGTGTATAAATCAACAAAATATTGAAACACAGGGATAGTAGAATTGTCAATTTATTTTTGACACTGACCCTCCTAAATAAGCACAATAATTCCTTCGGCTTTTTTATGGACGATCACTTATTCATTTTAATTCCACATCGTTACTACATTCCACGAATATATTCTCACCAGGTAGCACAGAAAACGGTCTGCAAATACAGGCCCACATACTTTTTTTCTCTTAAATGCGGCCACTGTTTCCAAAAGTCCTAACAAAATGTAGATACTGAAAGGAAACACAACCCCTTTTATATATCATATAATCAAAACAATAAGGATACAACTCCAGGAGAGCCCCATGAAAGGAACAACCTATGGACACTAAGTTACATATGTGTTGCAAATCAACAACGCACGGAGCATAGGCAAGTTCGAAGATGAAAACTTTCATGGGGCTTCTGATCTTCGGTTATACTCTGAAGGTTCAGCATGCCCCAAATTATCCATGATGCTCTACCTACAATTTGTGTTGCCTAAATAGCCTAGTGCCATGATTTGCAACCCTTGCCGCTGCAGGAAGAAATTCCCATCGTAACGTAACGTTCTCAACAAGGCAGGTCACAATCACACGGCGGATGCAAAAATTCTCTGCTCTGTTGTTCAGGCCTACCCCTGTTTCCCTTGCTTCCTACCGAACGGTCGGACCACTGGTGTTGCAGTTTCAATTGACTGGCCGTTGCTACCATGTGTTGGAACGATTCTCAAAGGGTGAGCTTCAGTGTTGAAGACCCACTCGTCGAAAGATACGACTGACGGAGGGGAGAACAGCAGATAGAGGTACTTGAGCGTCTCTGCTAGGAAGAAGGTCTGCATCTTGTCGTCCTTTTCACCACTATTCACCTGAGATCGAAACATTGCAGTAAGTTTTGTTAGTGTAAGGCAGGTGTTTCCAGTGGGGAAATTCAAGGATGGAAGGTGCCACTAAGAACTTACATCTCTTAGTCCCACATATCCAGATGCTATGCGGGAGTTCTTCTCAAATGCCTGGAATATGTCCCATCCCCAATCTTGGTATGTTTTGTTCCCCGTAAGGCGCCACAGGTACATGAGTGATTCCACAGTCTCGGGTCTCAGGATATTCCATGACGTGCCCACGTTCATATCCTATGAAGTTGGAAAGTACCACTAGTTGATGACATTGTTTTTAACAAAAGAGTTGATGCCATGGTACTGGATTGCTAGAAAGAAGATAAGGGCCCACACACTACCTGTCCAGCGTGGAAATAATAATTCTCTCCAGCCAACTTTGTGGGAGTTGTTTGGTAGAAGTTATAACAGGTCCGAGCAAGCTATAAAGAGAATAGGAAAAGGAAATCAGATGGACAAACAGAACAAAACCATATGCAATAGTTAGAAATATTGGATACGGAAATGAGATTCCTTAAGAGGATTTACCTCTTCTGCCAGATTCATAATTTGTTTAGCTTTTTCAGGCCCATAACCAGAGGCTCCAAGTGCCAGCATACCAGGGGCGAAGCATGCAAGTTCATCCATCTGTGTCGGTCACAAGCTGAACCAGTCAGAACTTTAGAGAGACAATGCCAGATAAGCTTTAGAAAGCATCCTGCTGAAAATCAACAGAATGGAGATTCTTTACCTTGTGAGATAACGAGCCACCACTTTTCTCGCAGATATATGTGTAATTAGAGGGTGTAGTTTGCCTGGTCAAGCTTATTAAACCTTCCATTGATGTCTCCCACATTTGTCTGAGTTAAGCACCGCAAATGGAAATATTAATCACGTTACAAAGCAGAATAAATAGACTTTTCACTAAAAAATGATGAAAAGGATTATGATGAATTGTGAAGTCAAGCCCGCACCTGTAATGTTTTACGCTCTCGGTTTTATTCCCCTGAATCCAGACCTTGAGCAAGTACTCGTAGAAGCTGAAACGTGCATGCAAATATGAGTTATTTTTATCTTTTGGAGTCAATATCAACCGAACATGTGATAAAAAAAATTATCCATGGTCCAATAAGATAGATCAAACTTGCTTAACAATTTGCACAAAATATTACATGGTTGAATGGCAAAAATAGGGCACCACTATTTGAGGAAGAATACAATTTGGTTCAAATAGTAGGACAAATAGCATTACCTATCTCCCATAGCACCGAATGTTATTGTTGAGTATGATGCTTGTCCTGATTGAGGATTTATGTAGATAGGAAGTAAGCCGTCACTTGGATATATCTTCTGAAGCTGACGGATGACATTTTCTGCCTAGAATCATATTTTGGCAACAAACATGAGAGATCAATACTGAAAAAAAGAGGCCAAAAAAGAAGACATATAGGATGCATTTGAATGTATAAACATGCCAGACATACGTGGGAATTTTACTAGCAAAAAATAGCAGTAGATTGGCACTACGAATCCAAGAAGAGAACTTCCCACTCTTGATTGTGGCTGGTAGCTATGTTTTGCACAAAACTAGCTACAACACTTAGTAACAAAGAATTGTCCCAGCAAATTACATAAAATTGGTACGATGAGTGAAATACTAACCTTCAGCTGATATTTAGGATCTCCGGTTCTCTGGGACAAAGCTATAAATTCAAGCTGCTCCGTTCCAGAATCCGCAAGGATACTATCACCCTGCAGAAATAATAAAGCATATGATTCATTGTCCATTACAGAAAGCAAAATAGGTTCAGGTGAAATGTGTCATAAAAAAAGACAATATTTGATAGTAATTCTCAATGGCAAGTTGTGCCGCAGAGATCAACGCTCAGTAGCCTGTTAATGACTTGTGTATTTGAGCATTGAGGCTTGAGATGGATTTCTAAGCCTGGGTATAAAATTGAAGCTTACTGGTTTGCTGGTAAATAAACATGATTGTAATATTCGTGTGTTTGGAAGGAACTTGCAGCGGCAGTAGGTACTTAATGGAAAATAGAGCATCAGTTACTCACGTTGGTCCATCCAAAATTATGAGCTCGGCCATGAGCTAAGTTGATTGAATTATAAGGGATACCAGATGTTGTATCCCAGGCAGGTAACAATCGATCAGCGATATCCTTCGCCTTTTCTAGAAATACTTTGTCACCCGACATATCATATGCACTGAGGAGACCTCCAACAACCCTAAATACGAATATATAACAGAAGCTTAGACAGTTAAGCTAGTAAATCATAATGTGATATGGCTACATGGCATAGACCTATGCAGCCAAATATCTGCAAGAATACTGTAACAAAGATAAACCTTGTAATGCAACCTTATGGTCGTTTCAAAAACGCTTGCGTCATAATCCTTGTCAAAGCTTAATGACTCTGCCACCCAGCTATTATCATGAAATGGACACAAGTCAGATCAGGAGTATGACATAAATCACAACAAAGTATTCAAATGGCTGCAAGGAATAGTATGATGTGAGATGATACAAAAGAAACGGAGACACTAAAGATCTAATACATTAATAAAATATTAGTCTTTTATTGCATGGATAGAACAGATGAAAGCCATGAAACCAATAGACTGCCCAACAAAAAGATAGTCAAGAAGACCCTTCGGATTATCCTGTAACATAGAGGGAATATATGGACAAAATACATAAATGCCCAATAAGCCTTGTAATAGCCATGCACCTAGACAAGCCCCCTTGACCACCCCTGAGGGCCATGAGAACTATGGAATTGCTAGAATCATATCCTATTAATTGGATTAGTCCAATGCATGTTTTTACATTAGGAAGTTCAAGGTAACATAGCCTAATTAGTTAAATGCATATCTTTATCTCCAGTGGACCAGATAGAAACTGTCTTAAAAGATTGGTAGCTTTAGATATCCTTGTTGGGTGGCCAGCTATACAAGCAGTGTTGTTATCTCTTGGCACCTCCTTATGGTGTGCCTTCCATCAACAGGCCGACAAGCCACTCGATACCAAGGTCATCCAATTCGAGTATATAATGAGCTTCATTTTCAAATTAGGGAATTCATATCTATACATCATGTAATAATAAAAGGAGATGACGGCACAGCTTCGTGTACAGAACTGAACTTTCATAAAAGCAAACTAAAATCAAATGCTAATTTTGGTAATAGATGAAACGAAAGAACCAGCTGCAGCATTTTGAAATCTCTGCATGGTTCAATACAAGTGGAACTCACTCTCTGGCCTTCTGAAACTCATCTCTTAGGCCCATTATATACAGTGTATCTAGCGAGTCCACAAGAGTTGCCCCGAGACCACCAAAGCTATTAACACCATTCTTTGATTGCGGCTGAAAAGGTGAAGAACGAAAACATTGTGGAGTTTTTCAAGACAAATTGAAAATGAAAACAAATTATAGAGCAGAATTACTAAAATACCTGAAGCTCATCCATTCCCCATGCATACTTTACATAGGAATTCCAGGCATGGAGCATAGCATCCTTAACCTTTTCCCTCCTTTCATTATTAATAGGATCAATCTCTACAAGATCTTTTCTGGGAATTTCAGTTGCTGGATTTTCCTCCAGTTGAACACCAGCCTTCCTTAACTACATAGACAGAAAATGCGCTAAATTTTCAAAGGAAAAAGAATAATGTTGATTAAAAGGAAGAAAGAAAGTAAACCAGCATGGAAGTTACAAATATTGCAATAGTACATACCTGACCATGCAACTGATTTATTTCATTTTGTAATTGGGAAATCTCAGACTGCAACACAGGAAAACAGAAATTAGATTAATACAGTAAATAAGGTTGAAAAACAAGCAATGAATAATGAAATATAAAATGACAGTCGATGCCTTTCTTCAAAAAAAAAAAAAAGAAGCTGAACTGCATGTCTACGGAGTACAGATGGTACCAATTAAATGAAGCGGCAAGAACACATTTATCAAGTGCATCCCAAAACCTCATCCTTATTCATTCACATTTAGCAGCCATAGTTATCATGCCAACAAGCACAATTCAACTTGGCCACATGCTGCTTTTGGATAGCGCTAATTATAGTGATGCTCAGGTTCTTAAGCTTTACATTTGACAAGGAACTCAAGTGATATAGGAATGTAAGAGGTATATGCATATTTAAGAAAGATTTATATTAGTCGAATTAAATCAAATAATATGTCACAACAGCCATACACACGCAACGCCCAACTATACCTACTGATCACAGTAACAGTGGCAATGAACTACAATAATCTAATGCCACACTATACCTTGCCATCCGTGATGACGTCAAATACATGAGCCGTTACGAAAATTTCTTGACTGAATACTATACCTTCATTCACTCTCACACAAGAAGGGCACTACAATAGAGAAAAGACCAAATAAATAGCATTTCTAACTAGCAGATGGGATATCAACCTTACATCCAATTCAGATTTCACTCATCCGATTACTGAGAACTGGATCAACTTAACTAGCATATCTAACAAACGGTAGTATAAATAGTACAGCTCACGTGTCGCATACTCGCATCCACCAAATTATTTAATTACTCATAACAAGTCCCAATGAACATTTGTATCTTGCCAAGCTTAAACCAATATGAGTCTCTATATGACTATACTAACATAATAGGGCAATCAGAGTTACAGTCACTCCTCAGAATACAACAGCTATTCAATGAACAGTTTCACTACAAACCACAATCATAAAGTTGCATGTGCCATGTATAATAATGTTCCAACTAGTATTATGTTCTCCAAATCTACACCATGTAGTAATTGAGAAACATGGCAAGGTCTGGATTATTTCCCCGGATTAACTAAAACAGTTAAGGTCTCCCCGCCTGAGAAAATTCTAAGCTGCTAAAGTACCTCACTGTACCCATATTCATCCCACTAATTCTAGGATTGTAAAGACATACAATTCTTCGCCAAATTTACAGTCAAAGCTGGAAAGAAATCTAAACTAATACCAATAATCGTTACACACGTATAGTTGAGCTATAGCCTAGTGGCCCCTCATAAGATCCACTCGCTCAAAAGATCAAATCTCAGACAAAAGCGTCAAGATTCAACCGGACTGCCAGATCCTCGGCACAATCTCTCCCAAATGAACCCCAGATAGGCAGACAAGCCTAAACCCATTTATCCCGACGGCTCAAACCACAAGTCATCGCTAAACCCAGATCCAGCGCCCAACCAGCGCCGCGACGAATTCGAAGCTACTTGGCCGCAAGAACCAAATTCAATCAGATCCCCGCGGTTCCGACCCGGATCAGGGGAGAATTCTCCAGGGGCGAGACGGGGGGAGCGCACCTCGTACTCGCTGACGAGCGATTGGCGGTCCCAGAAGGCGAAGGTGGCGGCGACGAAGACGAAGAAGAGGAGCGCGAGGCGCTTGGGCCGCTTGAGGTAGTAGGCGGGGTTGAGGTACCGCCACGCCCCGGACGAGGAGGAGGACGACGACCGGCGAGCCATGGCGGAGGCCGCCTAGGGCGCTCCGGCGAGGAGGTCGTGGGGACCGAAGCTCGTCGCCGTCTCCCTCCGGTGACGTCGCCGGGGCCGCGCGCGTGTGCGTGCGGGTCGGTCGTGCTGTCCCCGCGTGGATGTGTGTGTTTCAGTGTTTACTCTGTCCGTCAGTGTTTGACAGTTTGAGGGTCTCGGCGGTCATCGCTCAATGTGGGCCCTACTCTACTTCCGGTAAATAACCACTTCAATCGAGAAAAATCGAGAAACAAAAAAGACAAAGCCCCCGAGCGCTCACAGCGATTTCGCACATCCGGCCGTTCATCTCGATTTTTGATGCGTTTTGGACCGTTCGATCTAACCTCCAGACAATCTGGACCGCCGGATCAAAACTGGATGCTTTAGCAATGAATAGTTCCTCTCGTTCGTGCCACTGCCTGTAAATTCAGTGCCCCGCCAAAGGTATTTCCGTCATTTCACATGGTTGGAAAAATATCCAATAACGACATGGGTGTGACCTAGCACTCCCGCACTCGCGCTCGCACTCTTCCTGTCGCGCCGCCGCCTCCGCTTGCCCTCACGCCCTTGTCTCGCCGCCTCCGCTCGCCCTTGCGTCGGCGCGTCTTCTCCTTGCGTGTGCGTGCTCGTCCCCTTTGCTCCTGCTTCCCCACCATTGCCCCGGCGCCTTCACCGGCTGTCGCGGATCCAGTACGAGGCAGGGAAGGACGTCGTCGCCCTGTCGCTTATGGCGGCACCCGGGTCGGGCTTGGGTTGTGCAGAAGGTCAGCACCTGCGGGCAAAAGCAGTGGGGTCTCCATGGAGGAAGGCTCGTTGTCCTGAGAAGTAGGAGTAAGGAGGTCGTGCTGCGGCGAATGGGGGCGAGGTCGGCCATGGAGGGAGGCTCGCCGACCGGAGCACCAGGAGCAACGAGGTTGAGGTGGTTCAGGTTTGCCTCTATCTTCTCCCCCTCTCCCTCTGTCCCCTCTCTTATTACCCCCTTTGTCTCGTGGATGAGGGCATCGGTGCACTGGGAGGAGTGGATCACTTCGCCCTCGGCTTTGTTGTCCCAAATGCTCATTCGCTACTCCCACTCCCAACGCCTCTCCCTTCCCTTGCTGTGGTTTTTTGTCTCATTGGTTTTTTTGATGGCTTTGATGCAGAGCTCAGATTCGAGGACGAGGCCATACTCATGCAGTCGATTAAGGTGACGTTTTCCATGGATTCTATATGTTTACTAGGATCTTTGAGTGACGGTGCTTAAAGGAGGTTTTAGAAACAAAATCACGTTTGGACTAAATACCTGGGCACATATTCCCGAGTCTATTTAGTTGTCTCAGTAAGTCATTTGGTAAATTGTTCCTTTGTATTCATTATAGTTTGTCTGCAAGTGATGATGAGTAGAAGGCTCTGAACTTTGTTGGAAGTCAGCATACATCTATATATTTACATGAAAAAATGTGATATTTTGTTTGGGCATTGTCCTGATTTAGTCATCAGAAGTAGTGGGCAGCAAGAACTGAACATGCTGGTGCATGGTGGAGTCGTGCTAATGCATGGCGGAGTCGTGCTAATTCAGTAGTGGGCAGCAAGAACTGAATATATAGTGTTAGCATGCATCATATTACTTAACAACTGCTTCTAGGGGCACATAGTTCCAAAGAAATAAACGCAGATTACTGAGGAAACTTGTCCGTAGTAAGACTAAAAGTGCTGAATCGCAAACTCACCCGCAACCACTTTTGAATTCTTGCGATAATGTCTATTTTTGCTTTTCTATTTGTTTTTTAGGTTCAGATTACGAATTCTTGCATGATGTACAAGTTCCAACCAAATAGTGCACCCTCAAAATTGTGTTTTGTTATGCACGATGCGAGATTTAGCAGCACCACACCTAGATTTTGAATGGCTCATAGCAAACTGTATATGGCTAACCTATTATATGGCATTCTTAATTTTGATCTATGTGCATTACTTCTAGATAAACTTCTATTGTGGCACCATCACATGGATCCAACCACACTAAAATATGATGATGGTCTTGCACAAAAAGAAGAACGGTGGTGTCGCATAAGCATGGCTCGACCTAGCCTTGATCATGGAACCCTCTCAGGTGTTCCTACTTCCTACTATCCATGCTCCCTGAAAACCCAACTTATTTCACCACCAGCTCCAAAGCAAAGATAGAATCTAGGCATCGCCGTATATAATTTTATTGCATATTGCTCAACTCCTCCTTTCTGAATTTGCTGACAGGCGTGTGTGACTACACTTGCTATGCATATGTACTATAGACAAGTCGGTTATCCTACTGTAGTATTACCTTCCTCCGGGTTTTTAAGGCCCGCCGACCGATTCTCTAGGACCAAGGTGCCCTCTTTTTCTCCCCCAAAGCATGCAACCCTTCTCTGCCTTGCCCGCATGCATCTAATGAATATTGTGCATGCACCAACCTGTTTCTCTCTCTTGCATGCATGCATATGCATGCCCAATCAGCTCACCGGAGACGCCACATATTACGAGAAAAACACAGCAGCTTTAAGGCACAGGCTTAGCAAATGCGGACGGGGCAAGATGGCTGACCGGACTTCTAAAGCCGGACGGAGGTAGTATGCAGGTTTATGTTTTCCTTCCACATGCTCATTGAAATGTTCAATGCTCATCGAAATGTTCAATGATATGCCACTTGGAATTCGGCCCTCTTTAACCTATAAGCATCAACAAGGTTACATAGCCTTCAATATTTCACAAGATATTCTCATGCTTGCTCTAGGTTTTTTTTATTTGCAGTAGATCATTGGTCATGACTATATTGTATCAAAGGTAAGAATTCCTCGTCTAGATGTTTGCAAGTAAAAAATACATTTCCTCCCGATGAATTATCAGACGGACTATAATATCTTCTGAAGACTAATTTTGAACATTACATATACATAATTTCTTTTATGGAAAATATTCACATACAAGAAATGCTATTAAATTTTGGATATCCTTATGTTCCTAAGATTAGCTATTTGGGATCAAAGCGCCTTTCCACATTGTTTATCTGATTTTTGTGATTTCTGATGTTCAGGTCGAGGCGAACTTGAAATGTGGCAACCTTTGTATGGCCAATGGTTTTGTAGACTTTGGCGTCCGTCGCCGGGTTTGTTCCGCCTCAACCAGGATCTTCTCGGCCCTGCTCTGATGTTGTGAAAACTCATGCATGCCAACAGCTGCCTCCATGCTCTAGTTGCCGCAATATGCAGGTAGCCTCTCCGTTATTTTTTCTTGACCTTTGTGCTTGCTCTGCTAAAGTGTTACGCGTATGTTTGGCTGCTTGCTACTTGCAAAGAAGTTGTATGAATGGCAGCAGGGTGTAGCAACAACCAACATTAGGTTGACTCAATCCCAGCAGCAAATTTCTTTGTTGCTCTATTATATATTTATATTCAACCATATATATGTTTATATCTTGCTGGTGATGCATTTGTTTTCTAAATTGATATTTCAAAATAAGTGCATTGATCCTCGGTGGTAAGAAAATTTTACTACAAGTCCAGTTTATTTAGTGTTGCAGAAAAAGTTGACTACTGAATTGTGATGCATACTAGACACAACTTATTTGATTCCCATTGCCGTATATCAACCTAGCTGATCTAAAGATGACTATTGATGCTTGGGTCGGTCAAGCTTGTTGGGTAGTGATTACTGATGCTTTAGGCGGTTACCATGTTTGCTTAAAACATTGTTTTCTGGTTGAGTTGGCTAACTAACAGTATGTCATGTGTCAGTTCAAGAAGTTAGCTCAGGCTTATGAGGTTATGAATGATCCTGAGAAGCTGGGAGGTGGAGGAATGCATGATCCATTGAACATCTTCCGGTCATTCTGTGTATAAGATAGCTACATAATAGCTTTACTCCATGAATATGGTCATTTCGTGTAGATTTTGTCATATTGGAATTAAAAATGAACAAAACAATTGTTTTAGGATCGAGCGTTAATTCTCTATGATTTCACATGGATAATTGCATTTTGGGTACATATATACTTTCAGCGATGCCATAACTTTAGTTAACTCCATGTTATAATTTCAATGATGCTTTATGAGGATCTTAAGATTTGTCCGTGATGGTTATTTCTTACCGGTAATGTTCTTTTATTTACGTTCCAGATCATGGTCTTCTTATCAAGATCAAGAGGTGTTGAGAAGAAAATTCTTAGGATGGATTCGTACACTCTGCGTACATAGGGTAGTACTTTTGATATTTATGGACTACCTTGCTCCTGTCTTGAATGGTCTATGCGGGCTTGCCCCCTGTCAGCAGGTGAATTCGGCATTTTACAAACTCGACTTGTGTGCTTCCATAATCGATAGTCCTAATTGATTGGGTGGAGAAACTGATTCATGTGTTGTATGGACCTCAGAGAATTATGGATATGGGTGACTACTTGACTCTTGCCTACCTTTTGGATGGTTGGTTTGCGTTGAGTGTGTTGTACTGTCCTTTGAAATTGCTAATTCCAAGACACACTTAGCCATTACATGCACTGTCCTAGCTGGAACATGACTTAGGACAGGTCATGCGTGGCAAGTTGCCCTTCCTATGTCATGAATCTTGACGCTTTGTACTGAATTTTGTGCAAACCAGTTATTTGTCTGGCTTGTGTTTTATTGTAAATCTTGATGCCTTATACTAAATCTACTGGACCACTCCTAGACACTACTAGATATTCTGCTTTATATTAAATATTGATGGTTTTTATTGAATCATATCCTACATTGTACTGTACTTTGATGATTTGTATTGGATTACAATTACATCCTTCAGTGATGAATACCAGGCGCTCGATTATTAAATCACTATACTTTAGACATGCCCTTTGTGCCATTTTGTGGTAATGACTAAATATGTCATGTTTGCCATACTTTTGGTATATATATGCTACCTTGCCCTTTGGTAATGCTATGTTTTTGGTGTATTTATTATACTGGTCTAATCCATTCCGAGTAATCACTTTGATTCCCTTTGGT